CTGAGCACTTATTATGTGCCAGACATTGTTCTAAGCACTTTACATATTTTATCTGATGGATCCTCACAACAACCTTATATGGTAAGTATTACTATTATCATTTCGCAAATGGGATAACAAGCCTCGGTGAGGGAGCTTGCCCGAGGACACACAGATAATAAGTGGTTGAGCCGGAATAAAACCCTAGACAATGTGCCTCTAGAGCCCACACTTTAAATCACTACACTATACAGAGGCCCTTCCTTGTACAGAATATTGGGACAAAGTGACCATGAAATGAAACATGTATGCAAACCAAATTTCTCCACTGACTCCTACTCTTACATGGAGGGTGAGCTGGGGGTAAAAGCAGGAGAGAAGCCCTGGCTTAGAGGGGGCTAAGGAGTGTGTGGGGGGGTGGTGAGAGGCAGGGGGGTATATACAGAGAGACCATCTCTGTCAGGCTCTGTAGCTACCCTTTCCTTTCATGGTCATGCTACTGACGTCCCAAGTGTTCAGAGACTATGTCCTGTCTCATATAAAAAGGTAAGATCAATGTTCACTAGTTTGAGAAGCCTATAAAAATTACCCCCCACCTCTTGGGGCCTGGGTGGCTCCGTCGGGTAAGCCTCGGACTCTTGGTTTCGGCTGAGGTGGTGATCTCAGGTTGTGAGACCGAGCCCCGCATCACGCTCCATGCTCAGTGGGGAATCTGCTTCTCCTCTCTCCCTCTCCCCTTCCCCTACCCGCCCTCTCCACTTGTGCACTCTCTCCAAAATAAATAAATAAATCTTTTGAAAAATGACCCCCAAAGCTTTCTGAATACTTCACCCTTCTGCCCACAGAAGTTTCCTCACAACACCCTGCTCTTTGCAAGTAATGACAGCATCGTGCTTTCGTTACCAAGATACACGAACAAGGGGACCTCCGGAGTCACGGAGTGAATGAGAAGGGAAAGCTAATTTTTGGCAACGTGGCTCATTTCCCTCTGTATGTTGGCTCACAGAATATACTACACCATGATTCAGCAATGCCTCCCTGCCCACAGAAGGACAGCTATGCTGGATTTGAACCGAGCATTCAAGCCGATGTTTCTCCATGTTGCTTCTTTAACACGCTCTCTGCCCATAATTGATTACAAATATCTATTTGGGGGAATTTGGTTCCCTCAGTTCCTCACCTTGCAATCACCTTAATGGAAAAAGTCAAATACTTCAGTTCCTGGAAAAGTCCAAACAGCACCCCAAGAGTAAGTGTTCAGGCTACTCTCCAGAGTGGCAATGGCTGGTGACAGCAAAGATTCCAAACTCGGGCCTCTCCCTCACCACACTTCCACCCCACCCCACCCCCAGGCAGTGTCACACGGGAAGCCTAAGGCAGGGAATTAGAGAAGAGAGCTTGCCACCAAGCCCCCTAGATTATCTGACCCCACAGGTCTTCATGATAATAGCTTGAAGGAGAGGAGCTGGAATATCTTGGTAACTCGTGGACCGGCAGGAAGCCTTTGCACAGAGAACTGTTGTCCTCATTATCATAAGGAGGTGGGACCCAGATTGAGTCTCAGTGACGAGCTGGATCCTTCTGTGATGGGGGCTCTCCAGATGGGCAGAAGCCACTGACTGTCCACAGGGAGGAGGAGGCTTCATCTGAAACAGGGTGCTGGAGAACACGAGTTGCCAGCCAGAGCAGACGGGATTGGGGGGTGCTGTGAGGTTTCCCTGCAGCATCCAGAAGACTGCACAGAACACTGCACATGGCCTGGCGTCTAGCCACCTGCGATGGACCGACCAGCACATCTGATGGGCAGGCGGGGGGGGGGGGGGGGGGGGCGGGGGGGGACAGTGGCCCCTGCTGGCTGAGGTTGGCCACATGCTTTTTGTGGGTCCCTGAGGAGAGGTTATGGACTTCTTTTCACTTTCAAAAAAAAAACAAACTTCTTCGGAACACATTTTGACAAATGAGGATTGGCGACTATAAAACGTCAAAGGGAATGTTCAGGTTTCTAAATGGGGTTCTAGCAGATGGAAGAGCCAGTGGGCAGCTTACACCACAGGCTCCTCTGGCCCAGGACCGACAGCAACATTTTCCCGATAAGCTAGCCCAGGACCCTGTGACAGAGCCAGGAGCCAACTAGTGGTTCCTTCCTAACAACAACAACAAACCCCTGAGACCCACGCTGTGATTGCCAAACAGCAGACAGAGGTAAAAGATGTAAAGGCAGAAGCACAAGGCAGAGGATGTAATGATGAAAAAAATCCCATTACCTGCACCTACAGACACCTATGCCTCAGGGTTATTTTGCATCAAATGCAAACTTTATCCTGAAAGAGCCAAAAATGATATTTAGAGCCTCAATGATCATGGAAATTTTTAATTCCACAAATAACTATTAAGGGGGAAAAAATGGTTTCAATGAATATATTTATTTTAATCTCAGTAGACTGGCATGCAAGGGACCATGGCCTTTTTTTTCCCCCAAATGTCTGAAATCAGAGTATTGGTGGAAAGAAAAGATTGTTTTAAATGACCCAGCTTTAGAATGGCAGACAAAAGACCAGGAAGGTCTGTCTGTCTGTCCGCAGCAGTCAGGCACACCCTGGGATGGGCTGGGGGTGGGGGGTAGGGAAGAGAGCGAGCGGGGAGCCTGCTGCAGAGCCTTGTGGGCCAGTTCTGCCCCTTGCTTTCCCTCCCCTCCTCTTCTTGTGATGCTTCTGCTCTTCCTCTCGGCCCTTCCCTTCTGACTTCCACTTTCTTTACTCCCTCCACTGCACAAGCTACATTTGTCTTTCCTTCCACACCCATTCTTAGAATAACCTTCCATTTCCACACCCAAATCCCTCTACTTTCCACCCTTCAGACCTCTCACTGAAGATGGGGAGTGTGCCACCATTAACGCTGTTCCCAAACGCCAAAGCACAGAGCACATTAGTGCCAGGACATAGGTAGTCATAGTGCAGATGTGAACAAGACTGGGTCCTCCTGGCCTCAGACAACTTCCAGTCTAGAGAAGGCAGCAGACAGAGGCCCATAGAACGGAACTCTAAGCTGAGTGGGCTAAGGCATAAAAGTAGAGTTAATACTATGGGTGAGCAGACCCTAGGAGGAGCCCAGATTCAGGAGCGCTTGCTGAAGGAGGCAGAAACTGAGCAGAAGGGCAGGGGCCCGCATTTCTTATCTCTGAAGCCTCCTGTGAGAATGTTCTGTAGAGATGTCTTCACGGGGGTAGGGAGAAAGTGTTGACGGAGAGTTTCAGCACCCACTTACTTAACTGCCGGAGCTGAGCTCGGCACACCACCCTGCTCTTGGCTCCACACCAGCTCACACCACCAGCTCTGCACTCCTTGGGATTCTGTCTAGAGGTGCAGAGCTCAGGGGAGATTACCAGAAGGGAGCAGAGAGGATCTTAAAGATCTTCCCTTCCCCGCCCTGGAATGAAGAATCGAAGGCACACCCAGGACCTCAGCGGGCCTCATGCCCCGCCCCAGGCCCCCCTCCCCCAGGCCCCTCCGCGTAAGGGCTTCCAGCCTGCCCATCCTCCAGGTCTGACTCAGGACCACAGGGGAGGTGAGGAAGTGGAGAGGGAGGGGGAAAGCAGATGATTCTTTCAAGAATCTGTTCTGGAGCAAACCACTTCCCCTCTCTGGGCCTCAGTTTCCTCATCTGTACAATGAGAAAGCTGGCCTTTATCAGCCCGGATGCGACAGCTCTGTTCTGCTTCCTGCTGTCCTTCAGTGTATCTTTCTTTTCCTATAAGGTGGGGCTCTTCTCAGTCCGCCTATCATCATTGTCCGCTGGGACAAGAGCCCCCCAGCCCCAACCCTGCTCAGGCTCTTTTTCAGATCCCCTCTCCTTTATGCATTCTTTCTCAAAACCGTGGCTTTTCTCTTCCCCCGCCTGGGGCTTCGCAAGGTGAAGCAGTCCACGCTGCTGGAACTTGCTGGAACTTTGGGGCGGCTCTTCTCAGCTTTCAGTGGGCGCTCCCGCACACCCAGAGACAAGAAGCGGGGCTTTCAAACTGTCTGCTCAGCACATTTGAGAGAGCCCTCAGATTTCTCAGCGGCTGCAAGAAAGAGCCATTAACCCCAGCCGGACTTGCAAAAGGGAATTTCGAATCTCTGAAAGGCCGGCGGAGCCAGATTGAGGAAACTGCCTCCTATTTTTAAAATCGTGGTTAAGACTCCAAGGAAGAATTAGGTAGCATGCTTGTTGCAAGACAGAAGCCTAGGACCCTCCAGGTAGCAGCAAGAACAGGGTCTGACAGTGGTACTCAATCAGCGCTGCCGATAAAGGGGAGAATGGATGATCCTGTCGCAGAGGATGGTCCCTCCTCTTAGAACCTTGTCAGAGAAATGGGCTTCTCTAGGTATACTCCATATGGAAAGCTAGGACAACAGTCCTGTGCATGTAAGATACATTTCCCTTTGGATCTTTTTGCTGGAAACTTCCTTCTGCCTTCATTCTCCTGAAGTAGCTCCTGAAAGAACCCTGACAGAACACACTCGTTGGGAGGGCTTGTAAAGGAGAGCGGGCTGCAAAGGTGACCCAGGCGCGCGGCTGGCGGGACCCTCCTCCACTTGGCCATTCGTCCAGGGCCCCACCTTTGTGTCCCCACCCCCTTCAGTCTCCCTGGGAACAGATCTGAGAAGCAAGGCCAGCAGAACTTCCATCCCCACTCCAAAAGGCTCATCCTGCTATGCAAGGGGTGAGTTTTTAAATAAATGTCATAAATTTACCTATTCTTATCACTTAGACTAGTCTTGATCTCTCCCTACACGAAACTCCTTCAGCATTTGTGTTCTGTAGCATGAGAGCCCAGCATCCAATAATCTCTGCCTTTTATTACTTTAATCCTTTTGATGCACATGCCCAGTCTCCTCAACCAAAGTGCAGGTTGTTCCCAACATGGACTGCACCTTGTTCACCTCTGTCACCCTGGTCCCGATCAACGTATCTAATTCATAGTTAGTGGATCTTGTGTGTTTTTTATCTTGGTTTATTACACAAATAAAACATGCTCACAGTAGGATTACATATTTATTGGCAGAGTAAATCACCACAGAATAGAGTGCACAGCCTCCAAAGCAATTAAAGAAATGCAAATTTTTTAAAATGGAAGATATTCTTGTATGTGTATTAAATTAAAACAAATCAATAAAAATGAAAAAATGCTATGCAGAAGTGATTATGCAAAAGAATGTGCTTACATAGCATTGGAGGGGGACTGTCATTTGGCGCAAGATTCTTGAATGCTACCTGACAACATCTTACAGGAAGTACAAAGATCCCTTTGCCTTTTAATTGAAGATACAAGTGTTAGACCTGGGATCTGGGCATCCTGACGCTTCTCCATTCTAAATTCTCCTCTCCTTGCTGCCTTTCTCTCTGTGTGTCTCTGTCTCCCTGTCTCTTTCTCTCTCTCATCTCTCTGGCCATCGCCCCCGGCTGCAGATTTCCTTCTGCCACTGTGTTTGTCCTCAACCGCATTACCAAGAGCCCGTCCTCATTCTGCTCCAAAGTAGATTTCTCCCTGAGCCAGACTTCAGCCATCTGTCCCTCCAAGTGTCTTCTCCGGTGTCAGATAAGTCCCGCTTTGCTTATGTTCCTCCTATGAGAGACTTCCCCAAGCCCTCCAGGGCGAAACCAGTCATTCCCTGTGAGACAGCACCAAACATCAGCACTCCGCGTGCAGGCCAGACGGCCATTCTCTCCTCACTGGGAGTGAGTGTGGGGGGCAAAACCCAAGAGCAGAGGCTCAGAGGCTCTTCATGCGGGACCCCCATGGGCCAAGGCCAGCAGCGGGGTTGTGGACTCCATCCCCCACATGCCTTCCTCCCCTAACTTGCTCCCAGGCTGAGAGGAAAAGAGAAATGGGCGGGGGGGGGGGGAATGGAGGGGGGAAGGAAGTGCTTGTGGTGGTTTTCTTACTTGGCTGGTACTGTTGATAAGTCCTCTCCACTGTCCGGTGCCTGCCCGCCGTCATGGCAGCACACATCATCCAAATGCTGCCTGCTTCTCATCTGAATCAGTTTTGGAGGGTCCACTGTGATCCCTCCATGGGGAACCTCCCAGAAGCACAGGGCCTTGGCGCAAATTCTGTAGCAGATGCTAGAGGTGCCACGGCTGGAGACAGGAGGCCCACCACTCTCTTCACGGTGGGACAGCAAGTTCTTTCCTTTTATTCTTTTTTCTCTTTATTGGAATTTAGTTGACATACAATGTTACATTAGTTTCAGGAGTTCAATGTAGTGAATGGACAATTCTATACGTGACATAATGCTCACCACCACAAGTGTAGTTACCGTATGTCACCATACAATGTTATTACAATATTACTGGCTAATTCTTTTCATCCCTGTGGCTTATTGATTTTGCAAGTGGAGGGGTGTACCTCTTAATCCCCTTCCCCTACTTTGCTCATCTCCCCCACCCCTCCCCTCTGGCAGCAAGTTCTTGTAGAGAGAATCCAGGGCACCTGCAGGGCTGTAACCTACTTTGAGGGATCCAGGAATGGAGATTTCTTTGAGGAGCAATGTTAGCCTAAGAGTTCTAAGACATTTCCCCCTCTTCTCCCTCCCTGAGACAGAAGCTGAGTGCTTTCCTCCCCAGATCAAGAGAGAAGTGAAAGGAAGTTTAAGGAAGGCGCTGGAAGAAGCGGGAGCCCCTCTCACACACAGAAGGACATGTGCTTAGAGCTGCTGCAGGATTGGCAGAAGGAGGCAGGATGGTTCTTGCAAGAGCTTGAATTGTGTCCCTTGAGTTTGGGAGGCGTAGAGCCTGGTGCCAGGGGCATGGGATGAGGACAAGAGTGGGAACAGCCTGTGCTTCTGGAATTTGTTGACGAAAGATGCACGGGTCTCCGGTTGCACAACAGTGTGAATACAGTTAACCCTACTGATCTGGGCATTTAAAGATGATTAAGATGGCAAAGTTTATAATATGGTTTTGAGACAATTTAACAAAAAGAAGAGGGATGCATAGGGTTTTCCACGACCCAAATGGGCACCGTGGAAGGTAGCAGTTTTGAGCCCAAAGGGATCCCTACCCAGAGAACTGCCCACCATCAAGAAACCTAAGGAGAAAGAGGCTAGACCTGTCCTGCTTCTGGGGACAGGGACCAAGCCGAGTTGTGGAAGGTCACCTTGAGAAGGATTACTCACTTGAAGGGCTAGACATGCACAGACTCCCCAGCAGAGGGGTCAGTCTGGAACCTCAAACAGGAACACTAGGGCCTGGCTATTTCTGTTCAATGTGGCACACCTCTCGTGGACAGCTGCTGGTCCAGAGGTCTCCACGGGGTTGGCCAATACTTTCTCAGATTCCCATCAAAGTCTGGGGTCTCTCTGTCCAACCCTGTTTCCTCCATCATCTGTTACAGCCATTGCTCCCCAATAAACCTCTTGCACTCATAACTTCACCTCAGGGTCTGCTCCCAAGAGGATCCAAACTGTCACCATTTCAGAATTTCAGAACTGGTTTCCCTAAATCATGATAAATGGCTGCAGGTTGAGCTAGCATCTCTCTTCAGAATGTGTGAGCACTTTTCACCCTTTTCCCTCAGTTCTGAAACCCTAGCACCTAATATCCTATTACCGATTGTGTAAGCGAACTTTCCACTAGATAACATTGCAGTAACAAAACCTAAAATCTCTGTGGCTTACAACAACAGAGGTTAATTTATTTTTTAAGACTTTAAGTAATCTCTACACCTAGCATGGGGCTCAAACTCACAACCCCAAGATGAAGAGTCGCATGCTGTATGGATTGAGTCGGCCAGGTGCCCAACAAGGGTTTATTTCTAACTCACTATATATGTTACCAGTCTCCTCTAGATGTCTTCTCATAACAGAATCCAGGCTAAAGGAACAGCCTCTATCCTGGGTGTGCCTTTCTAAAGACAGAGGGAAGAGAGCAAAAATGCTGGTGGAAACGTGCAAAGCTCTGCAGGTTTCTCCCACTCACATGTTATTAGCCAAAGCAAACCTGACAATAAGGCACGGAAATATATTTCTGCCACAGTCCCAAGGCACCAGGCAAGAATATCTAATCCTCCTTTGGAGGAGCAAATATTTGAAAATATGCCAGGCCCGAGGTCTGGGAGAGTTCTTGGCCTTTTCTGCCAGGATGGCAGCTGTAGCTATAGGAAACACAGCCCTATTCCACACAGGAAGGAAACGAAGCGGACGGGGGGCAGATAAACAGGAAGAACTGCTGGCTGAGTCTGTCTGTCTCAGTCTTTTTTTTTTAAGATTTTTATTTTTAAGTGATCTCTATACCCAATGTGGGACTCGAACTCACAACCCTAAGATCAACAGTCTCATGCTCTACTGACTGAGCCAGCCAGGCACCCCAAGTCTATCTCTTTTGAGAGTTGGGTTGTTCTTTTTTTTTTTTTTTTTGGCAGTTTCTTTTAATGACTTCCACTTATATTTCATTGGCCACTTCTCTCTACAAGGAAAGCTGGAGTATGTTATTCAGCTGCCACTTCCAATAATAGAGAGGTTTTGTTAGTAAAGAAGGTAATATGAATTTTGGGTGCTCAGCTAGCAGTTTCTGCCACTCCAACAAAAGAGAAACATCTGTAAGTCTTTGGAAGCTGCAAGACAGAATGAAGAAAAGTTGACTGATGAAACTCAAAGAGAAACCATCGTCTAGAATTTTCTGTGGCTGTTGCAGAGATGCTGGAAGCTGATCTACCTGACAGAACCTTGACATGTTTCTGGCTCAGAGTCAGAAGCTGTTTAGAGCTCAGAAGCAAGAAGTGGGCTAAAAGGAGAGAGAACATGGGAACGTCTTATAGGACAACTACCCTTGACACCATCTTCCCCATCCCTGCCCAGAGAGCCAGCCGTCAGCATTTACCTCCATGCAAAACCAAACCAAACCCAAAGATACTGAACAGAATATTTCAGCCCTCTTGAGGCCTTTATTTGGAGGCCCCTGCAGCCTGACAGCCCATTTCTTGCCCATCTTACCCAGAGCTCTGAATCCAAAGGCTACTTGGTAGAGAAATCTTGCCTGAAAACAGACAACAGCTGTGGAAGCCCACATCGGCTACACAGTCTTCCCACCTTATACGTGAGCAAAGCTTTGGGCTTACCAGACAAATGAGGGGCTCCGCTGTAGGATCGGGTGCCATTGCAGATGATGCCACACCCAGAGCCGAGCATCAAGTGAAAGTCCCGCGGGCTGAACCACAGCCGCCCCCAGCCCTGTTGTACCCATACAACAAGAATAGGTTGCTATGGGCGCCTGGGTGGCTCAGTTGGTTGAGCGACTGCCTTCGGCTCAGGTCATGATCCTGGAGTCCCAGGATCGAGTCCCGCATCGGGCTCCCTGCTCGGCAGGGAGTCTGCTTCTCCCTCTGACCCTCTTCCCTCTCGTGCTCTCTATCTCTCATTCTCTCTCTCTCAAATAAATAAAATCTTAAAAAAAAAAAAGAAAGAATAGGTTGCTATGAAAATGGAACATTCAGAGAACCACAAAGGAGTGCTTATACATTTAAAAATTCTGCCTACCACAAATATTAATACTGGGAAGAGGGTGGTAGACTGGGAAAGTGCAAAGTAAAATCTTCATATTGGAGAGTGAAAAGGTAATGTCAAAGTCTTCTAAATAAGTAGAGGCTAACTAATAGAGATAACAACATAAAATCTAGAGTTATGAAGGTAGCCACAAGAAGAACTTAGTAAAGAAACTGGAAGGAAGGAAACAAAAGAGAAAGAAAACATTTTCTCTGACTTGTGGGTTCAAGGAGGGGAGGAAGCATGGAAGACCATGACTTTCCACTATAACCTGCTCTGTATTATTTGATCTGCATGGGCATGTGGACTACTATACCTGTGCTTTCTGCAACACTGTATTTTTAGATTTATACACATTGGTAAATAAAGGTCCAATCCATTATTGAAACTGCTATATAGTATTGCAGTATCTAAATACACCATGTTTATTTATCCACTGTCTTTTAGATGAGCATCTGAGTCATTTAAAATGTTTCAACATTAGGAACAATATTGGATCAAATAGTCTTGTATATATCCTTGTACACATGTCTCGAGGAAGGAAACTCTGCACTGGAGGGAATAAGTCTCTTTCAGGTCACCAGGAAACTGACAAATCATTCTCCAGAGCAGGTGCACCCGTCCTCACCCATAATAGATGGAAGTACCAGTGCTCCACATCCTCACCAGCTGAGTTTGTCAAGTTTCTTAAATTCTGCCAGCCTAATGGGTGTGAAATAACATCTCATTATGATTCTGGTTCCCAGATTGTTAGAAGAGTTGAGTGTCTTCTCACGAGTTTATTGGCAATATGGATTTTCTCTTCATTGATGTTTTGCCCATTTTTCTGTTTTGTTGTTTATCTCCCACTAATTGGTAGACATTCTTTATGAATTCTGGATGGATACTAGGGTTTTGTTGGGTACATGCATTGAAAATTCTTTTCTCAGTCTATGGCTTTTAAAATTTGTTTACTCTTTGCTTATTCCTTTAATGTAAGTTTTACTACATGTTAAATTTAATCAAATACATCAACCCTTTCTTTTACGTTTGTACTTATTATGTTGTGTTTATGAAACCCCCTCTCATCCTGAAGTCACAGTTCTGTCTTCCTCAGGGCACAAAGTAAAGCCTCAGTTAACATATAAATAAATATATGAATAAATAAATTCTTTCCAGGTTGTTGGTCTCCAGGACATTACACAAATCCAATTTTTTATCTTGTGCAAGCACCTTGCTCGTACAGGCAAATTTATATTGTAAAATTGGACTTAACTACAAATATTACAGGGGTTGCTGCCATTTATCATAATGAAACCAAGCTGAAGAACACCTTCCTTTATACATATGGAAGTGTACAAATGGCAGAAGTAGCTAATTATTCTTCTTCACAAAAGATACACTTGAGAAATGGGGTTTTAACTTGTAGCAATATTTAGATTAGAAATCAGAAAGGCCATCTTGTTAGTAAGGGCTACAGCAATGGAACAAGGCACCTGAAACAGCCCATGTAGTGAAAAACCGTATTAAGCCTCGATTATATGGCAGACCTGTAAGGAGATTTGTGGAACTTCTTTCTTTAAAAAAACAAAAAAACAACAACGTAAGCCATCATTAGGTGTCACGGCACAATAAAATTCTCAAAGCCAGAGTTATTGCCATGGGTGGGTAGCAGCAAGTCAATAGCTCCAACACGCGTGTTCATCAGCGACATCCTATTGCTTCTCTCCTTAAGCCTTTGTTTCTCCATTCCCCATGGCCCCATCCTAATGAGGCTTCCTCTCTTCAAATCTGGTTTAGTGAAAGAGTCACCTAACTAGTCATCCGACTTCCAGCAGCTCTCCCATCCTCACGTGCTAGATGAAGCTTCCTCAAAACCTGGCCACTATCAAGTCTCTCTTCTCAAAATTTTCAGTGCAGCCTCATTGCACATTGTTTAAATATGCCATAGACATGGAGAGATTGTCTCTTTGATGAGTACTTAGGTCATTAAAATTTTTCCACAATTATGAACAATATCGTTTGTAATGTGAATTTTCTAGCCGGATATTTAAGACCCTCCATACTCTGTCACCCATTAGCTCTCTTTATGTCCCATCACATCCTGTGTAAATCCTCTGCTTCCTAAGGGCAGATCTTCTCTTCTCTGCCTCTGTTCCTTCTCCTCCCCAACGAAAGGATCCTGCCAAGGACAGCCCAAGACCCACTTCCTCCATAGGTTCTTTACTGACTGCTCAGTGATTATTCCCACCTGAGATTCCTAAAACACTTACCATCTGTGCCATGCAAGTTAGCACTTACTGCCTGAAATGTTTTTATATATCTCCTGGTTCCCAAAGTAGATTAAAGTGATCTGTGGGCAGGAATGATGTGTCAGGGAGACTTGGGCAGAAGGGAGGATTCAATAAGTATCTGCTGACTGCCATTTAGCCCAATATGTATTAAATATCTCATAGTATATTTACCAATGTTACAAAACTCTTAATATTCTCCTGTAGGTTGGGTTATACTTCACAAATGAAAACAGCTCATTGTAAAAGAGAAAATAAAATTAACGCAAAAAGGTGTTTTTAAACATTAAGAAGAAATATAAAAGTCACCTAAAATCTCAGGCACTCGAGTTCTTTTTAAATGAGAGCTTATTCATTACTGAAGAGTCACACATTGTGAAACTCCCCACAGAAATGGTTTACAATGTCCTCAGACACCCTTTTCTCGGGAGGTTAAAGACTTGGAGAAGAGAGGCCAGTGTGACGGTTACACTGTGCTTGGCAGAGACCCCTAAGTACGCAGACTGGACTGTCCCAGTCCCCACCTCACACGGGCACTCTTCTAGCCCCAGCCTGAGAAGGTCGGGCGGAGAATAACCACCTACCACCCTCTATCTGTAATTTAGGGCAACTACCGCCTTTCCTCGCTGGCTCCTTAAAAGTACTGCTTGCTGAGAATGCTTGAGAAAATAGTGAAAAGGGGTAAAGAAGAAAAGAAAAATCACCACCACCCAGGGATAACCACTAATACTGTTGCGGAGAATTTACCGGATACTGCGCACACATGGACACACGCACACCACACTGCAGGCTCATGCCCCCTAGGCAGTGAGAGGCTGTGTGAGTCAAGGTTACAAGCGTGGCCGCGGGAGCCTGACTCAGGGTCTGAAACCTGGCCCTACCACTCACTGGCTCTGTTACCTGAACACATTGCTCCCTGCACACATTCCCTCACCTGTAAAATGAGAATCCTAGTACCTGCCTCATAGGGTTGCCATGGGCTTAGGGGAGGTGATATGTATGCGGTGTTTCCACCAGCGAGACGCGTAGAAAGAACGATGCAGCTCTGAGTTACACGGTTCCCCATCTTAGCTTTGAACTTCACATTTTATCAGGACCCTGTTGTCAAATCTTCCTTGAAAAATATTGTTTTTATGATTATATGTTTCTCTATCCTACTTTTTACTTAATGCTTTACCATGTCTCTATGTTTTTAATATTCTTTTAAAAAATTATTTCTGATGGCTGTATAACTAATACTCTATCTTCTAAATATACCATAATTTATCACTTTCTCCTGTTTTGGGACATTCAGGTTGTTTCCTATTTATCACTATGATATATAATACTGTGACAATATACTTAAAACTTGAGTCACACAATCTCTGTTTGCTTTCTTAGGATAGGTTTCTAACATAGAATTTCTAGAACAATAGGGTATAAACATTGTTTAATGTTTATATCACCAAACCGCTATCCAGAAAAAAATTCCAAGTTTGCTCCCATCAGTCCTGTGTGAGAGTAACCTCTATGCTGGTGACAGTGTTCTAGTGTTATCTCTTTTTCTTTCTTTTTTGCTATTTGGGAAAAAGAAAATTTTTATTTCATTTAATTTTGATTTTGATTACCAGTGCGGCCAAACTTTTATGATTACATTGGTCCTGTGTATTTCTTCTTTAGGGAATATTCCATTCATGTCCCAATGTTTTGGCATTTGTTTGGGGTTTTTTGGTTGAGTTGCAAAGAGGTTTTTTCATATTAATTGATAAGTGCTCTTTATATATTGGGAATTTAATTTTTCTGTCCCATTTTATTTTTTCCAGTTTACTTTATGGCTTATGGCTTTCATTTCCTCATTGAATCAGTACATAGTTCTTGAGTGCCTGCCACGTGCCAGGCACTGTTGTAGGTGCTGGGGATTCAGCAGGGAGCAAAGTCACCTAAAATCACTGTCCTTGGAGAGCTTACCCATTAGTGGGGGCTTCTAGTTGAAAGTGTAACTGCAATCAACAGAACCATCTAATTCCTCGAATGCCTGTTTTAGAGTTTCATAAGTACCTATTTCTTAGACATAATTGGCCTATTAATGTCATCTTCCTTTCAGAAAACCACTGTAGTCACATGAATACAGAGAAGAGAGACCCCAGGACTTAGCCTGATAGAGAAAATCAGACAGTATTTTCAAACAGGTATGACTGAAAGGGCAGCCATAGACTTTCAAGTGGGACTTGGGGCATCAGGAGCATAGCTAGGGGTTCTTTCTTCTCCTTTCACACAGGTACCTCACTTGTACATCTCATAGTTGGGGGCAGGAGAAACAGAGAAGTATGAGAGGGGATGATGAGAACAGAGAAGTGTGGGGTCCTATCTGAGTTGGCTCAGGCTGTCATAACAAAGTACCACAGACTGGGTAGCTTATATACCACAACAACTTACTTCTCACAGTGCTGGAGGCTGGAAGTCTCAGATCGGGGTGCTAGCATGGTCAGGTCTGGGTGAGAGCCTTCTTCTGGGTTGCAGACTGCTGACCTCTTGTTGTATCCTCAGATGGTGGGAAAAGATTGAGCTAGCTCTCTGGCCTCTTCTTAAAAGGGCACCAATCACTAATCCTATTCATAAGGGTTCACCCAAATACCTCCCAAAGCTTCCAAAAACCATCACATTGGACATTAGATTTTAACATGTGAATTTGTGGGGGACATAGGCACTGTGCCAGGAATGACTTTAAGGAATGGCTGATGCACCAGCGTCAATTTTATAAGAGATTCCCATCCCTCCATGGATGCACAGGAGAGCTCTGGGGCCTACAATAGGAGCAAAATTGCCTCCTCAGCAATCTGTGTGAGCATGTGACTTGGGGACCAGAAAAATGACCATTCTCCAAAGTGTCAGCCCTCGGAAACAACTCCAGGGAAGCAGAGAAAATCCTGAATTAACTGAGATTGTGGTTTTGGCACCAGCAGAATAGGAATCAAAATAAAAATTGAATGGAATTATAGAAAGTTCTGAAAGATCTCGTGTTTTTAAGAGCAATGACACATACAGAAAAGAGATAATTATTTAAACACTTAAATAAGAATTCCCATAGTTCTTAAAAAGAAACTGAAAATGCACTGAGCGAAATAAAGTCAATCAGAGAAAGACACGTATCATATGACCTCACTGATACGAGGAATTCTTACTCTCAGGAAACAAACTGAGGGTTGCTGGAGTGGTGGGGGTGTGGGAGGGATGGGGTGGCTGCGTGATAGACATTGGGGAGGGTATGTGCTATGGTGAGCGCTGTGAATTGTGCAAGACTGTTGAATCACAGATCTGTACCTCTGAAACAAATAATACCTTATATGTTAAAAAAAGAAGAAGAAGAAGAAGAAGAAGAAGAAGAAGAAGAAGAAGAAGAAGATAGCAGAAGGGGAAGAATGAAGGGGGGAAAACTGGAGGGGGGGACGAACCATGAGAGATGATGGACTCTGAAAAACAAACTGAGGGTTCTAGAGGGGAGGGGGGTGGGGGGATGGGTTAGCCTGGTGATGGGTATTAAAGAGGGCATGTTCTGTGTGGAGCACTGGGTGTTATGCACAAACAATGAATCATGGAACACTGCATCAAAAACTAACGATGTAATGTATGGTGATTAACATAACATAATAATAATAAAAAAAAGAAGAACCTGAAAATGCAAATGGAAAATTCTGTTAAATTAGCATCATTTTAAGTTAACTTTTATAAACTCAGTTCCAAAAACACCCGTTCCAATATGTACAAGGTGGAGGCCATCAATTCCTTCTTCACCTTTGGCCACTCACAGGCAACACATACATAAATAACCCTACAGAGCCAGGATAAACGTAACTGACCACAAAAGTTGCCCAGCCCAGATGAGCAAGAACCTCCTGATAACCAGAATCTCCGGATGGTCCTACTCAGAAGATCCCCTCTCATCTCCTCTCCCTGCACAGCTCAGGCTCAACTGCGGGCTCCACTTTGCCCCTTCTCTTTGCTCTTTATCAGAAGCTGCCCTTGGCAAGGGTCACTTGCCAAGTGAGCCCTTGGCTTCACTCAGCCTCCTCAGTGAAGCAGAGCTGGCTCTTGCTAGGAGGAACCAAGTAGAAGATTGGTCATAGAATCCAGATTCAAAAGAAGGGTTCAGAAAAGATGGTCAACATCACTAATCGTTAGGGAACTGCAAATCAAAACCACATGAGATAACACTTCACACCCATTAGGATGATTACAAAAAAAAAAAAGGAAGGAAGGTTGGTGAGGATGTGGAGAAACAGAAACCTTTGTTGGTGGGAATGTAAAATGGTGCAGCTGTTGTGGAAAATGGTAGGATGGCTCCTCAAAAAATTAAAAAATTGAATTACCCTATGATTCCTCAATTATACTTCTAGGGATACACCCAAAAGAATTGAGGGCAAGGTCTCAAAGAGATATTTACACATCCATGATCACTGCAGCATTATTCACAGTAACCAAAAGGTGGAAGCCACCCAAGTGTCCACTGACACATGAATGAGTAAAGAAAATGCGGTGTAGTCATACAATGGAATATGATTCAGCCTTAGAAAGGAATGAAATTCTGACAGGTACTAGAACCTGTATGAACTCTGAAGACATTATGCTAAGTGAAATAAGCCGGCACAAAAGGACAAATGCTGTCTGATTCCACTCACATGAGATACCTAGAATAGTCGAATTGGCAGAGCCAGAAAGTAGAAGGGGAGTTGACAGGGTCTGGGGGAAGAGGGGAATGAGGACGTAGTGTTTAATGGGTACAGAGCCTCCTTGAGGAAGATGACAAGGTTCTGCAGAAGGAGAGTGGTGACAGTTGCATAGCAATATAGATGTCCTTAATGTCACCGAACTGTGCACTTTTTAAAAAGGGGGTAAGAAAAAGACCGAGGAGGAGGGGTGGGTCTGGGGTCCAATCGGATGGAAACACGGAACACACAAGGACTCGATTTACCACGTGGAGCGCTGGAGCGAGTTCCCCCATTTTGTAGGGCGAGGAGGGAGGAGGCGGTCCCACTGAGCTCTAGCGACTGGGCTGTCCCGAAGAAAAAACGGCACCGGGAAGCGCTTTCCTCGCCTTGGTCGGGGTCTGGCTCCGGCCGCCCTCCTTCTGGGCTACTGCGGCATCCTCGATTTCAGCGGGCTCAATTCAGAAGTCGGGGAAAGAGGGGCTCCTTCAGTGACCACTTCGAACTTAAAGGCTTATCTTAGTCGCCACTCCCTCCACGAAGCCCCTTCTGATGTCCCCTAAACCCTGCGTTGTCATCGGAGGCCATATTCCCTCAAAGCGGGCAGAAGTTGGTTCTTGGGGAGGGGGGGATCTTACCTTTTTAAGGAGCAAGCACAGATAAACGTTCGGCAAATTCAGATACACGGTGTTATCTGTGGAATTAAAATTTAACAGTGGCCAGTGGTGCTGGGGGGGGCGGGGGGGGGACACACACACAAAGGTTGAGAAACACAGCCCGAAAGTTTAGGGCCTAACATACGCTCCGAGCCCCCATGTTTCAAGCCCACACAGCACTTGGCTCTTCTGTCCCAGGCTTGACTGCGACCCCTTCTCCCCAGCTCTCCCCGGCGGACCCAGGGCTGCCTGCTCGGGGTCGCGCTCCCCCGGCGGTGCCCCCACGCGGCCCGCGCACCCGCGCACTGGGCGCCCCTCCGCGTCCCACGGGCCGACGCGGTAACGCGGTCGCACCCCAGCCGGGGCGGGCTCCCGAGCTCGGGTCGGGGCCCGCGCCGGCCGCGGGGGCGCGCTTCACCCCCATAGGGGCCCCCGCCGCTCCGGCCGCTCGCCCTCCGGTCGTCCCCACGCGGCCGCGGGCTCGGCCTCTCTCCTCCCGCGCCCGCGCTGGGGCTGCCCGCAGCCTCCGCCCCTCCCGCCGCCGCCTCCGCGCGCTGCTCCGCGGGGCTGGCGCGGCGACGCCCTGGGCGGCGAGAGCCTCCCCGGCCGCGGAAATCTGTACACATCGCACGGCGGCTATGGTAGCTGGGTCTCTGTGGCGCAATCGGTTAGCGCGTTCGGCTGTTAACCGAAAGGTTGGTGGTTCGAGCCCACCCAGGGACGACGGCGCTCCTTTTCCTCAGACAACCTCGAGACGGATTCATTTTAAAACGGCAACCGTGAGATTTTTAATCGAAATGAGTACGACGCTACCGTACGTCTGGGACGGAGGAAGACCGTGTTCTCTCAGTATTTGTCGCCCAGCGGGGGTGGATCTAAGAGTGACTATGCTTCTGGACTGGCAGCCCGGGGCTTGGTAACCCAATTCCACTGCATGTCCACGGGAAATTGGCACACATTGTTCGGGAGACCGGCCCAAAGATTGTGCTTCAACAGCACTAGTTATAATGGAGAGGGAAAAAAAAATGCCCTCGACAAGTGAGTGAATAAATGCCACTGGTTTCTTCTCGGAAAATCTGGTACCACCAGAAAGTAGATGTCCTTATTCAATATTGCCTTATCTACTGCCAAAAGGATCCGAGGAGCTGTTCGATGAAAATATGCAAGGGGAGTCACCTAAAAGTATGTGGAGGCATAATCACCCTATGTAACTGTCTGCTAAATGAAGCTCTGTTACAGCCTTTGGACAATGGACTTGAACCGAGACGAAGGTGTTAATGTTTGCTCTTAGATCGCTGACAGAATTTTCCCTGAAATTAAACTCGGGCAGAAATGGTATGGGTTCCTGTTAAAAGGTTTTGCAGGATGTATTTTCAACTCTGGTCTTCACAGAAGACACAGATATTTTTCAAGCAGATGGTTCACATGAGACTTTCTATAAAGATAGAGAACCACACGATAACATGATAAGGTGATGATATAATTCATTTCTGCCAAGATTGAGGTTATGGGGTGGGTGCTTTGTCTCTGGGATGTACTTTTCATGGATAGAATTTAGAGACCTGGAAGAAAAAATAGTTAAACTGCCTCACTCTGCTGTCCTTCGGGGAATGTCTTGGCAAATGCTGGCTGATAATTACTTCTCAAATAATTGTTGATAATAAAATATCCTCTGTTGTCTAGTTAGGAGCCCTTAAAAAAGGAGACACGGTGTTGTACAATTTCAGACAGAGTAAGGGGTAGCCCCCCAAAATGTTCTTAGCTAGGGGCTTCTCTGATGCTCAAAAGTCCAAACTTTCCACTCATACTTAAGGATAGCCTACCGTGGAAACAAGGAAATTAGGTCATAAGATCATTTCTGTACCGTTCAAATCTAGTCTAACATTTCAAGATGAGGAAGGCATAATATTTGCTAGTACTTAAGTTATGGGGACTTAGAAAGCATAAGCTTCCACTTTAAGCTGAGTGTTTTTATACTAAGTTGTAAGCTCCTTGAGGGAAGAGACCAGTTTCTGTTATTAATGATCATTTTAGGTTCCAAAGTATTTCCTTCAAGATACAGTTCAAATTCTTGAGTGTAGCACACAGGGGCTTTCCCCTACCATGTTCCTGCATGAAACCCTCTAGTGGTTATATGCATTTACCAGCAGCTTCAATGGCCCATTCTGCCTTGTACTCCGCCCGCCCCCCGTGTCTTTCCCTTTGCCCTGATGTGCCAGTCCCCACTTCCTCTGTACTTACCTGGGTAACATCTGCTGAGGAATTACCTTCTCAGGGAAGCCTCCCCTGATGCTGCCTCTGTCTGATTTAGGCGCCCGTCCTCTAGTCATTCATCACACTACCCTGAAACCAGGGAGTTACTTGTCACCTACCCTAGTATATGAACTCCTTGAGTGTAGTGACTAGGTCTTTATTTACGTTGTTTGCTCATCTAGCACAGGTCTGTCACATAGCATATGCTCAGGACTGAAGCACTCCCTGCCTTGTCGGAGTATGTGATTAACAGGGACGGATAGTCAGATAAAAATGCATATGATGAAGTGTCAGCATGAGGGCCACAGAAGAATGTTCCCAGGTAGATAATGAGGAAGCCAACATAGATAGGCTGGATTGCATCTTCACGGAGGATCCGAAACAACCCTGAAAGATCTGGACAGGCCAGAAGGCAGGGGAGGGCTATTTAAAGCTGGCAAAATTTGGAGGCAAGATGGGGGTAACCAGAATATAGAACAAATGTACTTAAATAGAGTGCACTGACAATATTCTTAGCCTGTGGAAGGGCCCTGAAGAACAAGGCTGGAAGCTAGACTTTACCCTATGAAGCAAAGGAGTAACTGTTAAAGGTTTCTGTTTTCAGGACACAATGAAATTTATTTTAGATGGTTGGTCTGGCAACAGAATAGGGGAAATAAGAGATCAGAGAACAGTTAAGAGGCAATTATATTTCAAAGGAGAGGCAATAAGGTGGGTCTAGAAAAGAAGGATGTAATTCCAGGGAAGACTGGATAAGACTTAGGGACTGAAACAGGAGGGAAGTGGGGAGGGGATGCCTACATTTAGAGCCTCGGTGCCACAGGAAATGGTGAGAGTGGTTTTGCTTGATACTGGGAATTTGGAGGGGTCTTAAAGTAATCTTGAAATTCGAGAAATTATAAATTGCCCATACTTTTTAAAAAATTTTTTTATTGTTATGTTAATCACCATACATTGCATCATTTGTTCTTGATGGAGTGTTCCATGATTCATTGTTTGTGCATAACACCCAGTGCTCCATGCAGAACGTGCCCTCTTTAATACCCATCACCAGGCTAACCCATCCCCCACCCCCCTCCCCTCTAGAACCCTCAGTTTGTTTCTCAGAGTCCATCATCTCTCCTGGTTCGTCTCCCCCTCCGACTTACTCCCCTTCATTCTTCCCCTCCTGCTATCTTCTTCTTTTTCTTTTTAAATTGCCCATACTTTTAACTTACTTACTTGTGGCTGGTTCTCCACCATGGCGTTCATCTAAAACCTAGTCCCAGAATCAATCATCATTTTTTTAAGTTTAATTTCATTTTAAGTTAAACTTCATTTATTTAAGGTAAACTTCCCAAGAGACTACTTTAGGGGTCCACGGAGCCCTGTAAAAACCTGAATGGGAAGCTAAGGACCCTCTCCCCACAATGTACACATTCACAGAAAAAAATTTGTTTACAGTGTCCAAGGGAGTCACAGAATCTGGAACAGATTTCTGCCCCCCTGCACCGATTTCGAAGGCTTTGTACTGTATTTATTCTATTTGTATTCTAATTACTGGTAAAGGTTATAAAGAATGTCAAATCCAGGGTGTTTAGGTATGGCAAATTACTAAACTGAAGATTTTAAGGTAATATAAAGAACTGGAATAGTCTAATACTATTGACAAGCCACAAAGAAACCGATTTTCTTTTTACTGATCAATTGAGTAGATATGTAAAATTAATAATAAATGGCTTGAGACAACAAAGCTGCTTTGGAGTTTTAACACTTAATACCTTATTGTTATAATCTGGAATGACTGGGTGTGAAGGGCTTTACTATATGGATCCGTTCAGGGTCGCTTCCTATTATAGGGATTTATAGCAGCAGCAGCTGATTTGTGTTTCTTTCCTTGCGACTTACTTTAATGACACCCAGCAAACTGTCATATTTTACTACCCCCTTCTAGGAATTGAGCCATTTTTCATTGCTTTTTTTTTTTTAGTAAAAACAAAACAACGGAAATTATTGTCTGTCAAAGAGGACTCAAACTAGTTATTCCCAAAGATAAAGTGACAGAGTAAATCAAATATACACTTTAAGGAGATCCTCAACTACCTTAGCAATAAACTGAGAAGTAGATTATTATAGATTATCATACGGATGTGTGAGCATAGTGGCAGTTTATTTATACTTAATTGAACAGTATATTCACTTACACTAGAGTATAGGCCAGTCTGATCATTGGAATTCACTCGAATAAATACTACAGAGGTGAAAATCTACAATGGATAGGACTCAACATAGAACTGAAGTTTGAAATATAGAATTTCTCCACTAATTACCAAGCACGGAGATTCTTCACATAGCCAGTGGTGACATCAGTTTACAACTGCAAACGTTTTACCATCCTGCTAAATTGGCCTGATTTACATTGCCTTAGGGCTGAGGGAGCATCAAATATGTGGTATGTTGTAGTGGTATTTTGGGGGGTGGAAATGACCTTGCTAAATCATAATACCAAAAGGAAAGGACTATAAAATAATGTAAAATTTCTGCTAAACCATTAAAAATGATGGTCAGCCAGAAACCAAAATTGCCACATGGCAGAGAAAAGTTTAATCCTTTTATACTTAAAGAGCAGATATAAATGATTAAGACTCCAGTTCAACCGCCACAGGACGCAAGGGAGGCCCACAATGCTCCTCATGCTCCTTCTTCACATACCTTTCTCCCAGTCTCCGTCTTCAAAAGATCCCCCTCTCAAGAGGGATGCTGCAGTTAGAACTCATGATCCTCCCAGTCTCCTCTCCCGGAGAAAACTCATCATAACCTGCAGTTTATCTCCATCACTCTGTGACTCCAAGCCTCCTGGGACATTAAACTCTAGATCTTATCTCTCCCAACCTTCCACTCCTATCCAGCATTTAACCCAGCCCCCACCCCCACCCCACCAGCATCCTCTGGGATGCATGGTCTGTCACTGACAGGTCTTCCCATGTCCTCAACTTCCTGAACACTCTCTTCCCTGCCCTATGCTAATGAACTCTGAACATCTGTTGAAAAAACTACTCCCTTGACAGCCCTGTCAAGTATTCCTGGCTCCTTGTTGCTTTTTCAACCACTGTTCCCCCATCTTCATTATAATCCTCCAGTGCCTTAGAAGCACAAACCATTTGAACTACCCACTTTACTCCTTTCCCTGCCATCACCCATTTTCATGGTCTTCTGCCTTTTCTTGAGGATTTTAGCTCCTGGTTTACTGTATATTTCTTTTCACCAGGACTCCTCTGCCATTTAAATGACTTTGCCTTCCACAGAGACTATCCATAC